GGCTGACCGCTGGACTACTGCTATATCTAGTGTCACCCAACAGCAGTTAAACCAGGCTAACACCAGTGTTTCCCACAGAATTAGATTCCACTTGTGGCAGTAGCTGACACGGGTAGTTCTTTTTTTTTTGTTTGTTTATAAAATATTATATAGTGTCTCCATTCTTGCTGTCATCTGCCCTGTTGCTTATAGCTGGCTCTCCCACAGCAGCATGTTGGCTGCCATGTGTCTCTCCTCCTCCTAAACCCCTCTTCCACTGACTGAAACCTGAAAATATTCAGCACAAATTGGAAATCTCGTCACACTGGTTGGGCAGTTCAGTTTGTGTGTTTTTAGCATCAATTTACTCAACCTTTTGAGAAGACAAAAGGTTACATGAAGACAAACCTCAGGTCACTTTCCACACTCCCATAACAAAGTTACTGAAATTTTCATGCAAATACCTCATTCCAAACTATCTGTTCCTTATCAGATCAAACCCTTTCATGTCTAGGAAAATATCAGTATTCCCTGCGCCAAGCAAATCAATGAACTGCGCACAGACTGAGTGAGGAAACTTCTGTTCTGCTTACAATTTAATGATCACAAACTACCGTTATGTCAAACAAAATGCCTTCCCACTGGCTTTACTTCTCTATATATCTGTCTTCCTAGCACTGCAACTCTCTGTATTCACTACAGACAGTGAGTTGTTTGGCCACCTAGCAGTGGTCAGGGTTATTCACTCAAGTGGGTCGGTGGAAGAATAACACTCACACAGTACAGCACAGTAGGTTAATTTCTCCTCCACTCAAACATCCTATTCCAACACAAAGCTGAATAAAATTTAAGCATTCGTTCAAATGCCCCCTATGCACACGCTACTTTAGCATCCCCTTCATGAAGATATACTTAATTTCTAATGAAGATAATTTTCAAATACTTGAACAAAATTGTCCACACACATTAAAGACAAAACAAAACATGCAGACTTGTCAAAAAGTTTCAGTCTGTGTGTATGATGTTTCTAGGTTAGTGTGGCTTCCCCACCATTAGCAAATGTCACCTTCACAGCACAAGCTCCATGAAAGTTCAAAATTAAATATAGTTCAAGCCTCAGTCCCTGCTGTGACTAGATGTAAACCACATGAATCTTGACAGCGACTTAGATAAAACCTGAGAATCAGCTTCATGTTCTTAATGCCCTTTCATAAAAAAAAAAAGGGGGTCAAAGTCTGCATTCTACATTTGACAACAAGCTAACTGGTCTGAAAAATCAATATTTATCATACAGGAAAAGAGAATACATATTAAACGATTCAGAGATTGCATGAGATTAGTTATCCGAGAATTAAAAAAAAAAACAAAACAAAAAAAACAACCCCACTCAACCTTTTGAGAAGACAAAGGGTACATGAAGACAGAAACCTCACTTTCCACACTCCCATAACAAAGTACACTTTCAAGTAAATTTTCATGCTGACCAGGACCGGCTAGTGCAATGCCCCTTCCAACAGAAGTTCCAATGTGATGGAAGAAGCGACACACTTGGAAACAGACATTGGTTAAAGAGGGCCGTTTCAGCCCTGTATCATCTGGTCATGGTCAGTGTTTGTAAATAAACTTCTGGTACAGAGGCGTATATGCATCACTTTCAGCCAACATAAATATCTTGGATGTGACTTCATCTCATTTTGCACAAAAACAAGTAGCCCACTTTGTCCAGTATATCCTTATCAAAAATATCATGGTCAGCATTACTGCTTTGACTGCAGTTTTTAAAACATAAATGAATCATTTAAGTGAGAGCAGGTCAAGTAGCTGCAGTCTCAGAATTGTGGCAAATAAAATGTGTCTTCAACATCATTAAACAGACTACTGGGACTAAATATTAAAGTACTTAATTTATTATAAAAGGCATTTTCTCCTTTTCCACACAAAGCAGACTCACCACCTGGCTGCCTTATAGCCCACATTTAACACCAATGTTAAGCTAGAGAAGAAGCTGAAACTCTAGGGGAATCTAATTTTAGTCATGATCTACTCCAGAACTGACATTAACAAAGTAAGAAAGCTCGAGTGGCATGAGGATTCCTTGTATGTGTTTGACTAGTGTGTTCATGCCCACAATCCTCAAACTCTGGTTGCTCACTGCAAAAATCATTCTTTTGCCCATTTCTCTCAAGTATCTTTTTATATGAATATTTTTATATTTAAAGCAATTTGAATCACTCCATGTACAAAGTGTAGTATATAAATAACACTGCCTTGCTTTGGGATGATGAAATACTTAAAGAAAAATTACTGTCTAGGTAGTGTCATTGAAAACTGTTAAAACTCATTAAGTTTATTAAAAGGGCCCATAGCATGCTTTTCCTTGTTTTTTGACTTATTCATATTGTTACAAATGTGGATTCTCATCCAAGATGTGACAAAGCTCAAAAAACAGGAAGTACATATGTTCTAGTATTTCTATGCAGAAGTAACTTGATCTATGCAAATCTCACAAACTGCTGCTCGCAAGACTTTTTTCCTAACAAAATAAAGTATTATGGGATAGTTTAAGGATCTTCTTGAATGGACATAATATCCAGGCTGTTGCACGTTCATGTGAGCTTTCTTGACATCCACCGGTGCCCCACCATATTGGCAAAATATTACAATGCCTTCTTTGTTACGTGGATTTTCAATAAAGCTTATGTATATTAAAAATAAATTTAAAAAATTACATGACATTCACCAGTGTGACTGTAAAAATCACATTTTCCAACTGCACCCGATGTTGAGAACACCACAGGGACTGACGTTACTGCAGGAATGTTCCTGTACAGGGACCCACTGTTTCACTTGACCGGGTCTAACCTACAAGCAGCTGACCAGTGATCAACTCAGTAATACAGTACTTGTTTTGACTGCTGGAGGAAAGTGTGTCTGCCTCATGTGATGTGTTGCTGGTTAACGAGAGGATTAAGGAGCCATGATGTTATTGTCAGCGCTAGGCTACTTGTTGGAATTAATTTCACTGCATTGGTACTGTATGTGGTCATGTGGGGGAAGACACAGCGACCGCCTGTTGGATTTACCGGCCTTGGACCTACATGAAAGGGAGTGATGTTTCCATTAACCTGTGGAATTTCAGGGCAAGTTTAAAAAAAATAAATAAATATGTTGCACGTCTGTTAATGCATTTGGTCCGTAATGTTAAGGGGAATTGATGTAAGGCTGGAAAAGTTAGTGTCTGCATTATGCCAGTTAAAATATGGGGTTTCTCAACTATCCGCTTTCCTTAAAAGCATTAAAGGCTTTTTGGCTCTCATTCTGAAACAATTACAAACTATTTGGAGTTATGAAGGGCGCCATGCTAATCTAGAGGTACCCAAGATTAAATATTAAATGGCTGGAAACGAGCAAAATGAGCATGCCACGGGCACTTTAAGAGTAACATGTTAAATACCTAAAAGGCACTAAAACACACTAAACACTAAAATCCAAGACCGAGTACAACGATAATGGACTCAAACCTACATGTAAAATTGGTTCAATGTGTGGACTATATTATAAGAACTACAAGCTATTTTGAGTACTCTCTTTGACAATCAACTGTTACGCAGCTTTATAGCAAGACGCACTGCTGCCACAACCAATAAATACGCAAAAACATATAAATGGTAGGGCCTTTTCAATTATTTTGGCGTCCTTATATCGATTTAGTTGCCATTACAGCGGTGACTGCAACGTTGACACATATAACCGAGTTAAAGAACAATGGCGGTGATCATTATCCAAGCGCAGAGCCATGTATGAACAAAACACATTTTTACAGTAACTCTGTCAATGGCGACAAACATAAGAAGCAGGGGGACACGTGCCAGGCCATTTAATAGCGTATACCACAGTATGTGGTCAGAATTTGTCAGGAAACCCAAAATACTGTACTGTGACCTCTAGTAAGCAGCACGTTGAATGGGGCCTACAGGTTGAAGCCTGGTGCTCACTGATAAACCACCAACTGTTGCCAAGTTAGAGAGACTGTTAATCTTTATTAGTTAAAAATTAGCGCAAGAGCGCACGTGATCGATTATATATTAAAACATTTGGGAAACAAATCACTTTCAAAATGTAATAGTCTCCGAAATATTACATTCACCGCAGCCACGAAAACGGCCTGAATAGGTTTTGCTACTGTTAATTAGCAAAATCTGTCGCTAGCACGATAGCTACGCGCAGTACAGCTAACGTTAATATGCGACTGTTTAAGGCTGGTTAGGGACTTACAGGGTTGTATTACTGGTAGCTATAAAAAAGGGCATTCAGTATCAAAAACGTAGCTATCGTAACGTTAGCAGAGCAGGAGTCGGAATGATCATTTTTAGTGGTTGCAGTCAGGGCAAAGTCAACATCTTCAACCAATATGGCTGACAAAAAAATCCTTACCTGTGAAAGCTCCGGCTTGCCAACAGCCCAACAGAAGGGCACTGACAGCCCACAGTAACTTCATGGTAATGTTTGATAATATGTATTTACTAAATAGTCGAATAAACTACGGCGCACAAAATCTTCTTTCTCCTCTCCTTCCTGGGGATTTCAAGTGAGTGCCAGACGTACTAGTGCACTCGTTGGAGTTAGTCATCTAGTTGCACCTCACGCACACGCCTTAATCAGCACGTACTGTGACGTACTGTTAAGAGGCGTGGTCACATCACATGACTTGCGTTGATCTTCATTTAAAGCAATTTAAACCCACAAACAGTGATTTTAACTTATGTAATGTGTTAAAACAAAAGAAACATTTATATTGCACCACTCTAACATGCACACCAGCCACTTCAATATTGTGTCTAAAGTAAAATGTGTGTATTACAGCAAAAACTGCCAAAAGTTAGTGTAAGGAAATATCTGCAATACATAAACAGAACTGTGAAGTTTCATCTCCTTGGTTAAAACAAATAAATGAATTTTAAAGTACTGAGTGCTTACAAGAGTATAGCTTTCACCTGTACAGGTATGTGCCAAAAAATTAGAATAT